AGGACCGGTCCGGTTCCCGTTGGGGGAGGACCCCCCGGTCCTACTGGGTTTTCAGCACTGATTTTTTTTTCTTTTCTTTTTGGCCCGGCCGAGCAAGTGGACCCGGGCCACTCTGGTAGCCTGGTATATAATTGTTTTTTTCGCTTATTCTTTGTCGATGAAAAAAAATCCGCAGGTGGCATTGATATGTGTAAAATTAAAAATTGGCTGTTCAATGCCAGTTCAGGAAGATTCAACACGCGTTAAATTATTTAACGTGGACCCTGCATTGAATCCAAATCCAGACACTCCATATCGGGGTAAAGAGGGTAGTGTGAGGCCGTCTCGATATTGAGAGAAGAGAAAAGTACATTTAATATCATTTACTTGAGTCGTACTTGCACTCTGTGAATTACTCAGTATAGCATGCCTTCAGTGTGTTTCGTACTTGATCCATCCCCCTTCTCCCTCCCACCATCTACCTTCTCCTCCCTCACACCATCTCCCTCCCCCCTCTCGTCATCTACCTCTCTTCTCTCTCGCGCCATCTGCCTCCCCCTTCTCCCTCTCGCCATATACCTCTCTTCTCTCTCGCACCATCTACCTCCCTCCTCCCTCCCGACATTTACCTCTACTCCTTCCTCCCTTGTTCGATCTTTCTCCTCCCTCCCACCATCCACCTCCCTCCTCTCTCGGGCCATCTGTGGCCTTCCTCCCACCATCTACCTCCCTCCTCCCTCCTGCCATCTATCTATCTTCTCCTCGACACTATCTCCCTCCTCCCTCCCTCCATCTACCTCTCTCCTCCACCTGTGTATGACTCCCGTGGTGTTTTTTTTTTTTGTTTTTTTTTCCCATTGGTCACTTGAGCTGTGAAGGCTTATGACTAGATGTGTGGGACTCACAGATCAACAGAGGAAGCCTCAAAACATTCAGAAAGCGAAGTCCTAAGAGAGGGAGTGCAGATAGGAATGAGAGATGAGCATGCAGCCCTTTACCCACCCAAAAGTGCCCATGATGCGCGAAGAAATGGTGAACCGCTCCCCCTCTATTGCCGATTTCGCAAGCCCAAAGTCTGAGACTCTGGGAGTGTAGTCATTCTCTAAGAGGATGTTACTCGCTTTGAAGTCCCGGTGGATTACGCTTGGGTTTGACTCTTCATGAAGGTAAGCCAGCCTGCAAAGCAAATCAACTTACATACATCAGTCCACCTCTCTCTCTCTCTCTCTCTCTCTCTCTCTCTCTCTCTCTCTCTCTCTCTCTCTCTCTCTCTCTCTCTCTCTCTCTGTGTGTGTGTGTGTCTG